CCTGAGCCAAAATCAAAAGTTGGATGCTTAACCAACTGAGCCATGCAGGCACCTCAGGACAACGTTTTCAAGATTCATCCATGTTGAAGCATATATCAGTACCTTATTCCTTTTTATTGCTAAATTCCATTGTATGGATATACCACATTTTATTTATCCTTTTATCAGTTGAGAGATGTTTGAATTGTTTCCATCTTTTGTTTATTATGAATAATGCTGCTGTGAACATTTATTTAAACGTTTTTATGTGGATGTATGTTTTCACTTGTCCTTGATATATGTGTAGGAGTGGAATTGCTGAATCATATAGGAACTACTATCTTAACCATTTTAAAGTATATAATTTGGGGCGCCTAGGTGGCTCAGTTGGTTAAGTGTCTGCCTTTGGCTCAGGTCATGATCTCAGGGTTCTGGGATTGAGCCTCGCATCAGGCTCCCTGCTCAGCGGGGAGTCTGCTTCTCCCTCTCCCTCTGCCCCTCCCCCTGCTTATGCTCTCTCTCTCTCAAATAAGTAAAATCTTTTAAAAAAAGTATATAATTCAATGGCATTAAGTACATTTGTTGTGTTACACAACCACACCACTATTTAATTGCAGAACTTTTTCATCACCCAAAAGGAAACCCTGTACCCATTAAGATTCACTCCCCTTGGGGCACCTGGGTGGTTCATTTGGTTAAGGGTCTGACTCTTGATCTCAACTCAGGTCTTGGGGAAAAAAAAGATTCACTCCCATTCTCCCTCCCTCTGTCATCGTCTGAAAACCACTAATATGCATTCTTTTTCTATATATTTGCCTATTCTGGGTATCTCATAGAAATGGAATCATATAATATGTGGTCTTTTTGTGTCTGGCTTCCTTCATTAAGCATCATGTTTCCAAGGTTCATTCATGTTATAGTATATATCCATCAGTACTTCTTTCATTTTAAGGCTGATGCTATAGACTGAATTGTATCCCCTTAAAATATCTATGCTGAAGCCTTAACTCCCAGTGTGATTGCATTTGGAGATGAGCTTTTAGGAGGTAATTAAGATTAAATGAGGTCCTAAGGGGGGTCCTAATCCAATAGGATTGAAGCCTTATAGAGGGAGAGATCTGTCTCTCTCTGTATGCACTAACCAAGGAATGGCCTCAGAAGGACACAGCAAGCTGCAATCCAGAGAGAGCTCTAATCAGAAAACGACCCTGCTGGCACCTTGATCTTGGACCTTTCTGCCTCCAGAACTGTGAGAAAATAAATTCCTGTTGTTTAAGCCACCCAGTCTATGGTATTTTGTTATGGCAACTTGAGCTAAGACAGCTGAATTAATATTCTACTATATGGGTATGCTACATTCCGTTTATCTGTTTATCAGTGACTGGACATTTGGGTCTTTTCCATCTTTGTTGTGAATAGTGCTGCTCTGAATATTCATGTACAGGTTTTTGTTTGAATACTTGTTTTCAACTCTTGTGAGAGTATTAATATCTCATGGGGCTAGAGTTCTATGGAAAAAAGTTTGGGAAATTCTGTCTGTTATTTTATATTGATGTTGATTTCAGAAAATTAAATAATCTCATTTATTTCTGACTTTTAAAGAAAGATATGTAGCTTTCTATAATTATTTATATTGGCAGAAATGACAGTATTACAGGATTTGTTGATGTTAGTTGCCTTGGTGTGCTGGGCAAATTGTACATGCAAAAAAGAGAAGGTTAGAATATTGTTTTCTTGGGCGCCTGGGTGGCTCAGTTGGTTAAGCGACTGCCTTCGGCTCAGGTCATGATCCCGGAGTCCGGGGATCGAGTCCCACATCGGGCTCCCTGCTCGGCGGGGAGTCTGCTTCTCCCTCTAACCCTACCCCCTCTTGTGCTCTCTCTCTCTAATAAATAAATTAAAAAAAAAAAAAAAGAATATTGTTTTCTTGCTACTGTTCTTTATCATGAAATGTAGAAATAAAACTAGGATTTTGCCTTTTCTTTTACATTTCCATCATAAAATGGTTACATAAGAACCTAATTATTTTTCCAAATACTAGGACATAATTGCAAATTGCTCATTGTGCATCAGTGTTTCCGACTGTAATTTAAAAATCAGTTAGCTAACCTAGCCATAATTCTGATGTGATTCAAACATTTTTTAAGAGTTTGCCATCTGATTCTAGAGACTTCAGAGGCATACCATTTCTTCTTTGTTTGAAAAATTAGTGCTATCAAAAGGTAGAACTGACTGTCATGGTTCTTATAGATGGTATGTAGTTAGTTTGGCTTTTGAGGGTAGAGTGAGAGATCTTTTGGTTGTCTATGAGCATTTACTTTAAGCAGTGTTTTTAGATACATACAAATTATTTTATTCACACTTTTATTAAGTCTCACCTCTGGTCTAGGTATTAAAATATGAAAGTAAAAAGGTTAAATAAAACCTAGTCATTAGCATTAAGGAATCCATCATCTAAAGTAGGAGATAGATAAATGAATACAAATTACATTATTATACAGTAATGTGAGAGATAATAGCAAGTGCTATGAGAATACAGTTGTATAGTTGAACAACACAGTTTTGAACTGCACAGGTACACTTATGTGGATTTTTGTGTGTGTGTGGATTTTTTTTAATTTTTAAAAAATTTTTAAAAGGGCAGTGGGGTAAGAAAATAAAAATTAAAAAAATCTTTTTTTATTTTTTTTAAGTAATCTCTACACCCAGTGTGGGGCTCAAACTTAAAACCCTGAGATCAGGGGTGCCTGGGTGGCTCAGTCGTTAAGTGTCTGCCTTCAGCCGGGTCGTGATCCCAGGGTCCTGGGATTGAGCCCTGCTTCGGGCTCCCTGCTCGGCGGGGAGCCTGCTTCTCCGAACTCTCCCACTCCCCCTGCTTGTGTTCCCTCTCTCACTGTCTCTCTCTCTGTCAAATAAATAAATAAAATATTTAAAAAACAAAACAAAAACCCCTGAGATCAAGAGTCATACACTCTACAGACTGAGCCAGCCAGGAGCCCAATTTTTTTTTTTTTTAAATAAATACAGTATAGTACTATAAATGTATTTTCTTATGATTTCCTTCTTTCCTTCTTTCTTTCCTTCCTCCCTTCCTTCCTTCCTTCTTTCCTTCCTTCTTTCCTTCTGTTCGGGAGAGGGGGCAGAGAGGGGGCAGAGAGGGAGGGAGGGAGGGAGAGAACCTTAAGCAGGCTCCATGCCCAGTGCAGAGCCCAACAGAAGGCTCGATCTCAAGACCTTGAGATCATGACCTGAACTGAAATCAAGAGTTGGACACTTAACTGACGGAGCCACCCAGGCACCCCTCTTATGATTTTCTTAATACGAATTTCTTTTTTCTAGCTTACTTTATTATAAGAATACAATATATAATATATATATAACGTACAAAATATGTGTCTGTCAACTGTTTGTTATTATTAAGGTCAACAATAGGCTATTAATAGTTAAGATTCGGGCAGTAAAAAGTTATACGCAGATTTTGGCATCCCAAGCCCCAGTATTATTCAAGTGTCAGCTGTATAAAGAATATCGGACTGTCTTCTGAAACAGTGTAGGCTTAAGCTGAATTTTGCAGGACAGGTAAACATTACTAGCTGAAGTGAGGATGGCCTTGATCGTGGAAGGAACAGCATATGTAAAAGGCATTGATTCAACAGCCAGCCGCCCCATCCCTCACAGATCTGTACCTCTGAAACAAATAATACATTATATGTTAAAAAAAAGAGAAGAAGATAGCAGGAGGGGAAGAATGAACGGGGGGAAATCGGAGGGGGAGATGAACCATGAGAGATGATGGACTCTGAAAAACAAACTGAGGGTCCTA